GAGGAGGAGGAGGAGGAGGAGGAGGAGGTGGAGGAGGAGGAGAATGACGAGGACGAGGACGAGTGAGGAGGAGGAGGAGGAGGAGGAGGAGGAGGAGAAGGAGGAGGAGGAGGAGGAGAAGGAAGAGGGCGAGGAGGATGAGGAGGAAGAGGAGGAGGAGGAGGAGAATGAAGGGGAGGTAGGAGGAGGAGAAGGAGGAGGAGAAGGAGGATGCTGATGAGGATGCTGATGGCCCTGTTGACGTTGATGATGGTATGATGGTGATAATGATGGTGGTGGTGATGGTGATGATGATGATGATGATGATGCTGCTGATGATGATGATGATGGTGATGAGGTAGATGCTGGTGGATATGTTGCTGACTATGATCATGATGATGCTGATGACGATGATGATGGTGGTGGTGTTGACGATGATGACGATGTTGATGCTGCTGACGATAATGATGCTGCTGGTGGTGATTATGACGAGATCGACTAAGACGGTGATGATGAAAGTGACGATGATGATGCCACTTATGATTATGATGATGATTCTGATGATGATGCTGCTGATGACAGTGATGATTATGATGATGGTGATGATTGTGATGATGATGGTGATGCTAATGACGATTATGGTGCTAATGGTGATGAGGGCGATGGTGATGGTGATGGTGGTGATGATCGGATGGTGATGGTGCTGATGGTCGTGATCATGGTGGTGACGATGATGCTGATGATGAAGATTATGATGACGCTGATGCTGCTACTGTTGATAATGAGGATGCTGATGATGATGATGTTGATGATGGTGATGGTGATGTTGATGGTGATGATGATGCTGCTGATGATGATACTGGTACTCATGATGATGATGATGATGATGATGATGATGATGATGATGGTGGTGGTGGTGGTGGTGGTGGTAGTGGTGATGGCGATGATGATGAGGATGCTGATGATGATGGAGATATGATGATGACGACGATGATGATGCTGATGCTGATGCTGATGAGGATGGTGATGATGATGATGATGATGATGATGATAGTGAATATGATTATGTCTCCGATGATGATGTTGATGATGCTGATTCTGATGACGATGCTGATGATGCCGATGATGATGATGATGATGATGATGATGAGGATGATGAGACGATGATGATGATGATGATGATGACGATCATGATGATAGTGATAGTGATGATGCTGCTGATGATGATTGATGGTGATGATGATGACGACGAGGATGATGATGAGCAGGAGGAGGAGGAGGAGCGTGGATGATGAGGATGACGAGCGTGATGATGACGACGATGATGATGATGATGATGATGATGATGATGATGATGATGATGATGATGATGATGATGATGATGATGATGATGATGCTAATGATGTTGCGGACTATGATAATGAGGATGCTGCTGCTGATGATGGGGATGGTGATGGTGATGATGATGATGATGATGATGATGATGATGATGAGGAGGAGGAGGAGGAGGAGAAGGAGGAGGACGAGGATGAGGACGAGAAGGACGAGGACGAGGAAGAAGATGATGAGGATGAGGAAAAGGAGGAGGAGGATTGTCACGGATGTACCCTTAGGCCGTGGGTCGGGCTCACACACCTCAGCCCCTAGGGGAGCGGGGCCTGGCCGATGCGAGAAACCTGTGACGCGGCCTAAAGCGGGGGGCGGAGGAGGACATCAATGATGTTGAGGTGCTTAGTGAGGAACACCGGTCGATGCTCCACCTCTATATCGCCTTCTCTGTCCACCGCCCCCTTCTCACCCTATGCCCCCTGGTGATCTGGTCAAATCCGGGCTCCTACAGGGTGGCATCCCAAGTCGGGGAAGCGAACTTGCCTCCGCAGTGGTCCGCACACATACTGAATCTGTAGCCGTGCACTGCCCAGCGGTTCCCCTGAGGGGAGCAATCGGACCCCTAATGAGTCAGCCCGCCTCCCTGCCGCTGAATTTGAGCTCCAGGTACGGAGGAGGAGGAGGAGAGGAGGAGGAGAGAGAGAGCCCCTTCGCCCAGAGAGGGCCGGCTGGGCGGAGAGGGGCAGGCGGCGGCCAGAGCACTGCGGCGGCCAGCGGGTGGTGGGGGCAGCCTTCCTTCGATGGCGCGGCGGGGGGAGGGCCGACGGCCCTTGGACGGAGGAGGATGAGGAGGATGAGGAGGAGGAGGAGGAGGAGGAGGAGGAGGAGGAGGATGAGGAGGAGGAGGAGGGAGGAGGAGGAGTAGAGGGGAGTGGAGTGGAGCCCGTTGCGCAAGCAAGTTTATCCCTCTTCTAACCCATTAAAGTGTGCTCGACTTCCTGGCCTTCTTCTCGGCCTGGCTTAGGACCTTTGGCTTTAACAGCCGCAAGTCTGTCGAGGTCTTCTCTCTGGGTATGATTATTTTGCTCACGACACGGGCGGCTAAAGAGGCGAATTTGCTTCTCGGCTATAGCCCAACAACACGTGCAGAACCATATTCGAAGGGAGGAGGAGGAGGAGGAAGAGGAGGAGAAGGAGGAGGACGAGGAGGAGGAGGGAAAGGACGGGGGTAGCCGGAGCAGGGACCGCGAAACGCTGCACGCGGCAGCGGCCGCCCTCTGGAGTCGGACACGTCGGGGCGTTGAAGAAGTCGCGGGACCCAGGACTGGGCCGGCGGGGTCGAACAGCGCTTCGGTCCTGGTGGGCCTACGGAGCTGCCGTGCCGCTGGTGTCACTGTGGTCTCGCTTGAGTTCGCGCCGAGCTCTACCCTGGTGGGTGTGCCCGCAGGGTTTGGCGGTGGCTTCAGCGGTTCTGTCCAGGGTCTTCTGGTGGCAGCTACCACTTCCGAAGTAACGGGTGGGGGCAGATGGCCACCGAGTTCTAGGAGTCCTCTGTCGGTGCCGCAGTCGCTGGTGCTCTTGCTGGCATCGGAGGTTCATACTGCCTTGGCGCAGGCTTGCGACGGATGTCACTGGTATGTGAGGTCCCGTGATCGGCCCTGTGCAGCGGAAGCGCGATGGGGACGTCCCAGTTTGGCGCATCGCTGCTGAGGAGAGGAGCCTTGCCTTTGCCCTGGTGGTCATCGGCGTCGATCGCGATCCCTACTGGTGGTGGGTCACAGTATACGGTTTGTTTTTTGTGTGTGTGTGTGTGAGGGAGTAGTGCAGCATGGTGTAGCTGATCTTCTTCCCCCCCGCAAATCTCATTAGCGCGCCCCTGAGCTTGCGCGGGTCGGAGCGGTGTTGCTGGCAAGTGGTCCCGAGATCACTTGGATGCTCGTGAGCAAGTTCGCTGCAGGTGACGACCGCTCGGTCGACGCCACTGCTGCTCTGGAGTCCGGCGACGCAGGC